GCCTGTAGTCCCAGCTTCTTCGGAGACTTAGGCAAGAGGATTGCTTGAGCTCAGGAGTTTGAGGTTGCTGTGAGCTGTGCTGCCACAGCACTCTACCCAGGGCTACAGAGTAAAACCTCTGTCTCAAAAAAAAAAAAAAAGATATAGTTGAATATCTGAGTGGAAAGACTTTTTTTTTGTAGTTTTGGCTGGGGCTGGGCTTGAACCCGCCACCCCTGTACATGGGGCCAGCGCCCTACTCCTTGAGCCACAGGTGCCACCTGGAAACATTTTTTAGATAGCAGAAGATGTGATAGAATTATAAAGGGGTTAAGTTGGGGCAAGATAAATAAATTTGGGTTTAATTTAGGTAAAGGTGATTCTTTTTTCTTTCTTCTGAGACAGGATCTTACTTGGTTACCTTTGGTATAGAGAATCTTACTTTGTCACTCTTGGTGCCTTGGTGTCTTAGCTCATAGCAACCTCCAACTCTCGGGTTCAAGCAATTCTCTTGCCTCAGCTTCCCTAGTAGCTGGGACTACGGGCACCCACCACAATGCACAGCTATGATTTTTTGTTTAGCAGGCCCGGGCCAAGTTTGAACCCACCAGCCCCAGAGCATGTGGCTGGCACCCTAACCACTGACCTATGGGCCCCTCTATGGGTGATAATTTGGAAAGGGGGTATGTATGGTAATAAAAGCAGAATATGTTCAAGACCAAGTATTGAAATGTGCCAGCAGTTAAAGGGCAATGAAAAGAATAATAAACTGCAGATGGTAGACATTAAAAGTGTGTCAAAGACATGAGATGTGGGGAGAAAGACCAGTCTTATGAGAAACTGACAAAGGAAGAAGTTTTAATTTAAATATGAGATTGAATTGCTTGAGCCCAAGAATTTGAGGTTGCTGTGAGCTATGTTGCTGTAGCACTCTACTGAGAGTGACAAAGTAAGACTCTTATCTCAAAAAAAAAAAAAAGTATGAGATTGAATAGTGTAAAAAAATTAAAAAAAAAAACATATGATCAGAGAAGGAACCAAAACATTTCAAACAGGCTCAGCACCTGTAGCTCAGGCAGCTAGGGTGTCAGTCACATACACCGGAGCTGGTGGGCCTGGGCTCGCCAAACAACAGTGACAACTACAACCAAAAAGTAGCCGGGTGTTGTGGTGGGTGCCTGTAGTCCAGTTACTTGGGAGGCTGAGGCAAGAGAATCGATTGAGCCCAAGAGTTTGAGGTTGTTGTGAGCTGTGACGGCACTCTACCCAGGGTGACAGCTTGAGACTCTGTCTTAAAAAAAAAAAAAAAAAAAAAAAGATTTCTAACAATTCTTGGAAGCGCTCATATCCTATAGGAAATACTAAACATAATGTTATGGTATTATTTGTCTATACCACGATGCCATTTCTTTCTTTTTTTGGTAGTAGCCGTCGTTGTTTGGTGGGCCTGGGTCGGATTTGAACCCGCCAGCTCAGGTGTATGTGGCTGGCACCTTAGCAGCTTGAGCAACAGGTGCTGAGCCAATGCCATTTCTTTCTAAAGGCTTAATGTACATCTCTTATGTATTCTTTATTTTTAAACTGATGTTTATTTTCCTCCAACTTTATTTCCATCTTGTTTAAGAGCTTGTGGAAGAACAGCTTAAGACCACTCAGTGGTTGTTCCTGCCCATTTAGTGGCCTGAGTAGTGGGAGCTGCAGACCAGTCTTCAGTGGCAGGCTGAGCACTCCATTCTTCAGTGGGGAACTGCTGAATAGGCACAGAGGGCACCTGAACGCCTTCTGACCATTCTGCAACCTCTGGTTGTGTAGCAGTAAACTTAGGAGCTGGGCTCAGCACCTATAGCTCAACCGGCTAAGGCGCCAGCCATGTAAACCTAAGGTGGCGGGTTCGAATCCCCAGCCCGGACCCGCCAAACAACAATGACGGCTGCAACCAAAAA